AATTGAGGTGATAGTCACATAGCATGCAATTAACCATTTAAAAGTGAACAAGCAGTAAGATTTAGTGTACTCACCATGTTGTGCAATTACCAGCTCTCTCTAGTTTCGAAATTTTTAATCACCCCATTAAAAAACCCTGTACCTATTAAGTAATTACTTCCAACTTCCCCCTCTCCCTCCCCGGGTAACCTCAAATCTGTGGTCTCTTTCTATGAATTTGCCTGTTCTGGACATTTCGTTTTGGTAAAATCACACACTATGTGACCTTTTGTGTCTGACTTCTTCACGCAGCATCGTGTGTTCAGAGTTCATCCACACTGTCAGAGCTTCACTCCCTTTTTTTTGAGTCAGGGTCTCACTCTATCACCTAGGCTGGAGGGCAGTGGTACAATCACAGCTCACTGTAACCTCAAACTCCGTGGTCCTTCTGCCTCAACCTTCTGAGTAGCTGAGACTACAGGTGCATACCACCATGCCTGGCTAATTTTTTTTTTTTTTTTGAGTTGGGAGTCTTACTCTGTCACCCAGGCTAGAGTGCAGTAGCATGTTCACAGCCACCCCTCGACCTGCTAGGCTCAGGTGGTCCTTCCACCTCAGCCTTTCAAGTAGCTGGAACTACAGGTATGCACCATCACACCTGGCTAATTTTTTTATTTATTGTACAGATGAGGTCTCGCCAAGTTGCCCTGGCTGGTCTAGAACCTGTGGGCTCAGGCAATCCTCTCACCTCGGCCTCACAAAGTGCTGGTGATTATAGGCCTGAGCCACCAGCCAGCCTAGCTAATTTTAAAAAAATTTTTAGAGAGATGAGGTCTCACTACATTGCCTAGGCTGGTCTCAAACTCCTGGGCTCAAGTGATCCTTCTACCTAGGCTTCCCAAAGTGCTGAGATTACAAGTACCCAGTGCTGGGTACCACGTGGGGGGGATTTCTCATACACTCTTCTCCAAGGTAAGCCAGACACAAAAGATCACATAGTGTGTGATTTTACCGATATGAAATGCTCGATTGTTCCTTTTTAAAGCTGAACAGGCTGAGTGTGGTGGCTCAGCCTGTAATTCCAGCACTTTGGGAGGCCAAGGTGAGAGGATTGCCTGAGCCCATGGGTTTGAGACCAGCCTGGGCAACTTGGTGAGACCTCGTCTCTACAGTAAATTTAAAAAACTAGCCGAACGTGGTGGCATTGTGTCTGTAGTTCCAGCTACTTGGAAGGCTGAGGCAGAAGGATTGCCTAAGTTCAGCAGGTGGAGGCCACAGTGGCCGTGAGCATGCTGCTGCACTCCAGCCTGGGTGACAAGAATTGAGACTCCAGCTCAAAAAATAAATAAATAAAAAATAAAGCTGAACAATATCCTATTGGATGGATAGACCATGTTTGGCTTATCTGTTCATCTGCTAATGGACACTTGGGTTGTTATCTGTCTTTTGGTTGTTGTGACTCTTCCTACTCTGAACATATGTGTTCAGGTTTTGGTGTGTACATGTGTTTTCCTTTACCTGAGGTAGATACTCAGGAGTAAAATTGCCAGGTCATGCAATAATTCTATATTTAACTTTTTTTTTTTTTTGAGTTGGAGTCTCACTCTGTCGCCTCGACCTGCCGGGCTCCGGTGATCCTTCCACCTTAGCCATCCAAGTAGCTGGAACTACAGGTGTGTGCTGCCATGCCCAGCTCATTTTGATTTATTGTAGAGATGAGGTCTTGCCAAATTGCCCAGGCAGGTCTCGAACCCGTGGGCTCAGGCAATCCACTCACCTCAGCCTCCCAAAGGTACGAGATTACAGGCTGAGCCACCGAGCCCGGCTTATATTTAACTTTTTAAGGAACCACCTTGTTGTTTTCCATAGCAGCTGTGCATTCATTTTCTATCAGAGAGGACCCAGATATTCATTTCACAAGCTCTTGATGCCAATAAGCGATCATTATGATGACAGCAATAAAAATAGCCAATGGGCTGGGTGCAGTAGCTCACACCTGTAGTCCCAGCACTTTGAGAAGCTGAGGCAGGAGGATCACTTGAGCCCAGGAGTTCAAGACCAGTCTGGGCAACATAGCAAGACCTCATCTCTACCAAAAAAAAAAAAAAAGCCAGCCGGGCTTGGTGGCTCAGCCTGTAATCCCACGCCTTTGGGAGGCTGAGGTGAGTGGATTGCCTGAGCCCGCGGGTTCGAGACCCACCTGGGCAGCAAGACCTCATCTCTACAATAAATCAAAAAATCAGCCGGGCGTGGTAGTGCGCGCCTATAATTCCGGCTACTTGGAAGGCTGAGGTGGAAGGATCGCCACAGCCCAGCAGGTCGAGGCTGCGGTGGCCGGGAGCGGCCACTGCACTCCAGTCTGGGCAACAGAGTGAGACTACAACTCAAAAAAAATAAAATAAAATAAAAATAAAAAAGCCAGGTGTGGTGGCACATACCTGTAGTCTCCGCTACTCGGGAGGCTAAGGTGGGAAAATCAGGAGGTCAAGGCTGCGGTGAGCCATGATCATGCCACTGTACTCCAATCTGGGCAACAAGAATGAGACCCAGCTTAAAGAAAAGAAAGCTAATAACTGGTCAGTTCATTTACGTACACATGTATTTAATGAGCATCTACCATGTGCCAGGAACACATTAACTTGTTGAGTCTTATAGGGCTGCCATGAGGAAGGATTGGTCAATGTCCTCCTTTGGCGGTGGTGACATGTCTGGGGTACATATCTAGTTAGGGGTAGGGCTGGAACTTGGTCCCAGACACGGTTGGCCCAGAACTGAAACTTGCTGCCCCAGTGACATGCAGCTTTCCAGTGCTGGGTACCTCGTGGGGGGGTTTCTTATACACTCTTCTCCAGGGTAAGCACTGGCATCCGTTCTTCACTGGAGGGCGAAACTGATGAGAGAGGCAATCTGGACACAGACTCTCCTGGCATTGAGTTGAGTTGGCATTGAGTGGGAGTGGAGGAGAGATCTGAGGATGGGAGAGCAAGAACTCAGCTAAGGGGAACTGGGAAAGGCTTTCTGGAGGTGTCAGTAAAGCTGGTCCTTAAATAATGCATAAGCATTTGTCAGGTGAGGAGTGCCAGATAGAGGTTCCTGCTCATGTAAAGATGCAAGTATGTGACAGTTCCAGGGGAATTCAGATGACAGGACTGGAGTGGAGATAACGTACTGGGAGAAATGGGATGTGAGACTTGGAGTTAAGCAGACTCTTGCCTGCAAAGTGAATGAGCTTGCACTTTATCCTGAGGATGGTAGGGAGCCATGGGAGGTGTTTGAGCAGGGGAGCCATTGACCAAGATCTTCTGGATGTCAGAAAGATGCCTGTAAGTTCGGACCCTAGGAAGGAGAGGAGTGACTAGACCCCCACCTTCTTCTTCTGCCTCCTCCACAAAACCTGCCCTGATTCCCCACAGTCCTTTCTTTGTACTTTTCTTAGCACCTGGCACACTTTCTGCCTTCTAGATAATTGCATGGTGTGTCTCTGCTTCCTTTCCCCACTCCACCCAGAGGCTCCTCCAGGCAGGGCGTAGAGCGGAGCCATCTCTGCGTCCCCAGCGTCACCCAACATGGGTTGGGCACAGAAAGGTGGCAGAAGACGTGTGTTGAATGGGAGAATGAGTGGACAGATGACTGTGCATGCAATTGGCCAATTTCTGGGGAGGCTGTGTGTGTAGGCAGCTGAGTCACATTCAGGTGAAAGTGATAATACTTGAGTTTCAGGTATTTCCTTCCTGGGACCTTGCCCATTCAATCCTAAACCTGTTCAGCTTATAGAGGGGGGATTCGCTCCATCAGTCATCCGTCTGTCTGTCCATTCGTCCATCTACTCATCCATCCATCCATCCATCCACTCATCCATCCTTCCATCCATCCATCCATTCATTCTTTCATCATTCATTCTTTGATCAATTGATGGGTTCATTCATTCATTCAGTAAAAATTTCTCAGCTGGGCTCGGTGGCTCAGCCTGTCATCCCGCGCTTTGGGAGGGTGAGGCGAGTGGATGGCCTGAGCCCACGTGTTCAAGACCCGCCTGGGCAACTTGGCGAGACCTCATCTCTACAATACTATCAAAAAATTAGCTGGGCGTGGTAGCGCGCACCTGTAGTTCCTGCTACTCGGAAGGCTAAGGCGGAAGGATCGCCGGAGCCCAGCAGGTCGAGGCTGCGGTGGCCGGGAGCGGCCACTGCACTCCAGTCTGGGTGACCGAGTGAGACTCCAACTCAAAAAAAAATTTTTTTCTTTAGCACCAATATACCAGAGCTCAACATGGTCCCTCCCCTTGAGGGTCTTGTAACTAAACAGATACAGTCCAGAGTGGTTGGTGGGGGAGGGAATGGCATCTAAGTTGAGGTCAGAGGATGAGGAAAGACTGTTTGGGGCAGAGAGAGCAGCTGGTGGACACTCAGGGTAGAGAACACATGGCCTTTTTGAGGAGCTGAGAAATGTTCTGTGATGTCATGTGGGAGGGAGGTAGAGGATAGAGGTGTCTTGAGGGGATCAGGGTAGATCATTCAGGGCTTTGAAAATGGGTTGAAGGCCATGTGGTGGTGGCTCACGCCTATAATCCTGGCACTTTGGGAGGTTGAGGTGAGAGGATTGCCTGAGCCCACCGGTTCAAGATCAGCCTAGGCAACTTGGCAAGACCTCATCTCTACAATAAATCAAGAAAAATTAGCCAGACATGATGGCACATGCCTGTAGCTCCAGCTACCTGGAAGGCTGAGGCGGAAAGATCACCTGAGCCCAGCAGGTCAAGGCTGAGCCACCTCAGCCTTGGCGACAGAGTGAGGCTCCAACTAAAAAAAAAATGGGTTGAGCAGCTGGTGCTTGAGGATGATGGGTATGTGAGCAGGAAGGGGCATGGTCAGATCTGATGGTCAGTTGAGATCTGCTTGGGACCAGCGTGAAGGACAGACTGGAGAGGGCGAGGCTGGAAGCTGGGAGTATAGGAGGTATGATTCAGATGACCTGAGCTGGCAGAAAAGAGGGGGATGAGTTGGTGCGGTGGCTCACACCTGTAATCCCAACACTTTGGGAGGCAGAGGCAGGAGAATCACTTGAGGTCAGGGGTTTGTGACCACCTTAGACAACATAGCAAGATGTCGCCTCTACAAAAAAAGTATAAATAAAAGATTAGCTGGACATGCTGGTGTGTACCTGTAGTTCCCCGCTACTCAGGAGGCTAAGGAAGGAGGATTGCCTGAGCCCAGGAATTCAAGGCTATAGTAAGCTAGGATCACGCCACTGCATTCCAGCCAGGGTGACAGAGAGAGAAGGCCAGGTGCAGTGGCCCACGCCTATAATCCCAGCACTTAGAGGAGGCTGAGGTGAGAGGATTACTTGAGCCTGGGAGTTTGAGACCAGCCTGGTCAACATAGTGAGACCTTGTCTCTACAAAAAAAAAAAAAAAATTAAGCTGGTGTGGTGGCGTGCTCCTATAATCCCAGCTTTTTGGGAGTCTGAGGTGGAAGGGATCTCCTGAGCCTACAGTGAGCCATGATCATGTCACTGCATTCCAGCCTGGGTGACAGAGTGAGACCCCTATGCAAAAATAAAGTAAAATAAAATAAAATGTTGATATTTTTAAAAGGTGGGGGGTGGTCTAGGGGAAGAAGGCCATCCTCGATAGAGAGCACAGCCTGGCCAAGGGTTTGGAGATGAGAACGGGGTTATCAGGTATGTGCTGAAGGACGAGGCAGGAGAGGCATATGAAGGCCAGGTGGGGCAGGGCTTCCGAGGCTCGGCAAAACTTGAACTTTCTCTAAGGACAATGTGGAGCCATAGGAGGTGTTTGAACAGGGGAGACCCATGTTCAGATCATGGTGTTATAAAGGTCTGAGGCAGGTGTGGGGGAGGGACTGGAGGGGTGAGGTGGGAGGTCAGAGCCCAGAGACGAGGCCCAAGGAAGTCATGAGCAAAGGTCAAGGGTCACAACTCTGCTTTGAGCCATCTCTGTCTCTTCCATCTCCACAGCTGCCATTGCGCCCAAGGATGACCTTTTCTATGGCTTCCTGAAACCTTGGCTAGGTGAGTGCCAAGTGAGCAGGCTAAGGCTTGGGGCTTCAGGGCATGGGGCTCTCTGGAGGGTTTCAGAGTAGCATGGGAGGCCCCTAACCTCAGTCTTCTGGGCCCAGGGGATGGGTTGCTGCTTAGCAAAGGCGACAAGTGGAGCCGACACCGCCGCCTGCTGACGCCCGCCTTCCACTTCGACATCCTGAAGCCCTACATGAAGATCTTCAACCAGTGCACCGATGTCATGCATGTGAGTCCCTGGGCTTCGTATGAAGTGGGTCACCAGAGTGAGGCCGGTCCAGGCTTCAACTCATGGGCAAGCTGTGTGATGTCAGGAGGCCTCACCTGCTTTGTCCATAAAATGGGTTTGTAGTGAAGCTGCAGCCAGGTCCTTGTCTGGCCGGCTCCCGTCTGCGGTCTCCATGCCCACTCGCCGTGGGGTTTCTCTCTTACAGGCAAAATGGCGGCGTCTGGCAGAGGGCTCAGTGGTCTCCCTTGACATGTTCGAGCATGTCAGCCTCATGACGCTGGATAGTCTTCAAAAATGTGTCTTCAGCTACAACAGCAACTGCCAAGAGTAAGTGTGACCTTCCTCGGAAAGACAAAGCCAGCTGTTCCAGAGTAGCAAGAGAGAAAGGGAACTCCTAGGAATTAGGCAGCCCTGGGTCATGGGCACCCTCCACTGACCAGCCTCGTGGTTCCAGCAAACTGAGTCTCAGTTTCCTTAACCGAAAAATGGGCAGGACTGGGCTGGGCTGTGCTGGGCTCATGCCTGTAATCCCAGCACTTTGGAAGGTTGAAGCTGGAGGATTGTGTGAACCCAGGAGCTCAAGATCAGCCTGGGCAACATAGCGAGGCCCCATCTCTACAACAAAAAAAAATAGCTGGGTGTGGTGGTGTGTGCCTATAGTCCCAGCTACTTGGGAGGCTGAGGGAGGATCACCTGATTCCAGGAGGTTGAGGCTGTGGTGAGCTGTGATCATGCTACTGCACTTTGGCCTGGGCAACAGAGTGAAACCTCAATGCCCCTCCCCCCCAAAAAAGCTGGGCGTGATGGCTCCCACCTGTGATCCTAGCACTTTGGGAGGCTGAGACAGGAGGATTGCTTGAGCCCAGGAGTTTGAGACCAGCTTGGGCTACATAGTGAGACTCCATCTCTACAAAATTTTTAAAAAATTTGCCAGGCATGGTGACTCAAGCCTATAATCCTAGCACTTTCAAAGGGAGGCTGAGGTGAGAGGATTGCCTGAGTCCAGGGGTTTGAGACCAACCTGGGCAACTTGGTGAGACCTGGTATCTACAATAAATAAAAAAATT